CGGATCTCGACTGTACAGAGCTGCGGTCCGCGCGCACATTCTTTCGGCGGCGGGGGCGCATTGCAGGGGGGGTAACATGATGGCAATATCCGCCGGCATCGAATCGGAGAATCGGATCGAGCCGAAGTATGCTCCGGAATGGGCTGCACCAGCACGGAGTCCAAATCGAATCGAATCGGCCGCGCCAAGGCGAACGCCAACAACGCGCAGCCAACGGGCCGCATCGGATCGTCGGAGTAGGTCTCTGAATCGAATCGGATCGGCCTGGCCGAAGTCGATATCGAGTCGGATCGGTCAGGTCGAAGCGGACCCTGCGCTATGCTGGGGAGGCACAGTGTGCGTCACGGCCCGGGCCTCTCGAGCGCTCGATCCTGCCGTCGCGGCACGCGCGCGCGCGCCTCCAGCTCGGGGCGCGACGCTGGGGATCGCACGGCCCCCACGCAGGCAGCCCACATCTGGACGCCCGAAATGGGCACAGAAAGGACGGGCAGAGTACCCAACAACAAGTGTTGCCCCAGACCATCAGCGGCCGCTGTTGGGCAGGCGGCTCTCCGCCTCGAGTGGTCACAGGCCGCGGCGGCGTAGGCAGCGCGCCCTGCTCCAAGTGAACCGGAACTGCTGTTGGGCATTGCACTCCAGATTTCGTAATAAAGGGAGGGGGGTCTCATTTCGGGGGGGGGGGTTCTTCCAGGCTATCTTGGAGGGCCTGGGGGGTCTGGGGACGACGGGGGAGGTCTGAAACGGCTTGTCTTGGAGGGTCCAGACCCCCTCCCCTGTACACATCGACCGCCTGCCGAGGCTCCCGAAGATCGATCTCCCAGGGCGGCAGTTCTGGATCAGACCCCGCCCCGGACTCCTCTGCCGTTGCCCGCGCAACACCTGGGTGTGTGGCTCGCCAGCCAGCGTCAACCTAGGCAATGATAGGGGCTCAAAAAGAGACATAAACATAAAAACTCGGAGGTCCGCGCGGATTTCTCGGATCGGCGCTGGGGCCCCCCGGCGGCGCCTCCGGCGCCGCCCCTGGCGCGCTCCGCGCGCCAGGGAGGGGGGTCCAGCGCGGATCCAAGACATCCGCGCGGACCTCCGAGTTCTTGTATTTATGTTACGTTTTGTTCCCCTAAATGAGAGTTTCCCTGTGTCGATCCATGCCAAGACTTGCTGGCTGGCAACCCCTGCATGGCCCTTCGGGCTGCCGTGGCAGGCCTGATGCGCTCCGGCCGCACTATCAGCTCCAGAAGCCGGAACGGGCCTGCCTTGTGCCAAGCGCGCTCCCTCTGCAAGTCAACAAACAGTGCACGAACAGCTCACAGCCACGCTTGGCAGGAGCCAGGGGAGGCGACAAGGCCACCTCGCGTTGACAGAGGCCTTCGCCCTCATCCCCACATAATGCAAACTCGTCATGTGGGCTGCCTTCCGAGCGACGAGGCGGCGGTGGAACACACGACGCTGGATGCAGACATTCTGACAGACTGTCCGCGGGTGCACTTGATGATGTGCGGCTGCCCATGACTGCATACGCCGTGATGTGAGAAGACTTCATGCAGCACAAAGAACAAAGAGATGTCGAGTACCACGGAGTTGCCGAACCACTCTGGCACTGGAGAAACTAGTGCCGACACGTATGTGTGCCATGCTGGTCCAGGGAAAAAAGATGCAACGTGGAACAACCACGCATTTCCGCATATAACAAGCATTGCGAAGCAACGAATCACACACCCAGAAACGGGCGCACTGCTGTTGTCGAACAATGCATGCCAGGATGGAGAGACCACTGTGGCAGAGCAGACGGTCCCAACCAGGACTGGGCAGTGCGAACCATGATTCCCGAGGAGAGGAGGAGCACGAAGCGTGGAATAAACAGCGTGCGTGGTAAGTCACCGACGCCCGAGGATCGGACTTTCGCCTGCGGTCTCCAGCGGACGACCCCGACCGGAGCAACCTCAAGGAAGAAAGGCGGGGGAGGGAGGAGGGGAAGGAGTCGTCTATGTTGCTGTCCTTCATCCCATGTCCATCTTCTGCTCTCTCCTCCTGCGGAGGAAGGAGGAGGGAAGCACGGGGATGTGTAAATCGCACGACTTCCACCATCAACTATGATCTACCCCCTCCACTATGAGAGCCCAATACCCCTTCTCCATACATCCACCCCGCCCCCTCTTCCGCATCCTCCCCCCAAAACGCCCCGCCAAGTCAGCTTGTTGTTCTCCGAGACTCGAAACAACTCCTCGTACTTGCTGCGCCAGTCTTCCTCGGCCTGCGGTGGCAGAATCAAGAAGGCAACGAGCAATGCCAGGGTGCATCAAGCTCTGTCCTTCCGGCAACCCTGCTTATCAAATCATTCGGCACGTACCACACCTCCAGAGACGAGAGCCCAAAGGGCCTGCGATTTGAACGAGAGCCCCGTCCTGACAAGGACATGTTATGAGCAAAATCCTGGAGGTTCGCGAGGCAACTTGAAATCCAACTTACTTCGGATGTACGTCGGGAGCACGTGGGATTTCGTCGAAATCACGTCGGATCCTCGTCGGATGTACAGCGAACTTGCGTCGAAAAATCGCCGCGCGAACGTCGTCTCATATCTGACGAGGCGGACGTGCGAAACTAGATAATACAAATATTGCGCGCCGCGCGAGGCCTCCAGGACTTTCCCTCATAGGACATTCCCTCATGCATCTAGCTATCAACAAAGGCGCTATGGGTTGGGCCAGAAAGCCAAAGGACATGTCCGACGAGAGCCAATATTGGAAACAGTAAGAACAACACATGTTCAACATTGTTTCGCAAGGGTGAACCTGCAGCCATGTGACCCTAAGAGAAGCGATAACCCAAATATTGAATGAGGCCACCCCATGTCCGTGCAACTGGTGGGCTAAGCTGGAGCGTCTGGCCTCAACCATGGATCGACTGTAAAGCGAGAGCTCAGTTTCCTGGAAATGCCGCCACCAATCCTTGTGACTGGTTGACATTGACACGGAGATCATACTGTGACAACGGCCCGCCCCCTGACCGAGTGCGGCTCCGAGGCGATAGCTGCATGGGGACAAGGGCTCGAGCCAGAATGACTATATGTGAAAAGCGCCCCATGCGTGCAACTTTGGACAGCTCTCGGCGGCGCGGCGAGGGGGAAAGTGAGAGTACGGCGACAGGCAGCAGGCGCTCTCAGAGGGCAGCGGGGCTTCTCAGAAACCCTCTGGCCTTCTGGAAAGGCCTCTTCTGGCTTCGGAAAAACCTCACGCAGATACGTATCAGATGGCGTGGAGGCCGTCTGAGCCTGTTGAGAAGGCCCACCCCCTCCGCTTTCACTCCTGGACGCGCCGCCACGATCCAGACATCAGTGTCACAACTGCTCAGAAAGCTCAGGCCAAATGCCCAGCCTGGGGAAGGGGGTCCTCCTCCTCCTCCTCCTCCTCCTCCTCCTCCTCCTCCTCCTCTGCCTCCCCCTCCTCCCCCTCCTCCCCCTCCTCCCCCTCCTCCTTCCGACACGTCTGGTGGTACGACGAGAAATCCGTTCTTGTAAAAAGGGACGGTGGGGAAAGGGCAGCAAGTAAACCAACGCCTGCCCGCCGAACATTCAGCCCAGTGGCGCCGACGCTGTACTGCGGCTTCCGAGGCATCGATTGATTTCGATGCCCGGTTGCTGACTATCGAAAGTTGGCCTTGCGCTTGCCACTTCAGAATGCGCAACTGGCGAAAGTCATGCAAACAGGCATTCGCAATAAATTGTGGCTGGTTACGCTCGCTCTCCGGCATGCGAAAAATGATGGCCCTTCGCGCGGTGGACCAACAGCCGGAGAGGCCAATTCCTCTGCAGACAGAGTTGCAGTCGCCCAGGTATTTGAAATGGAAAGACCTGGCCCTTACATCAAGACACCGGCGCCAGGCTTGGCGCCCGACGCACATGATATTACTACGCTGAGTTCTTACAGCTCCTCCTCGAGGTCATCATCCTCCTCCTTCTCCTCCACCCCCTCGGCCTCCTGAACACGCACGCCCCTCTTCCTACTCCTGCTACATCCCTTCGCGCGCCTCATCCTCCTCCTCCAGTTCCGCCTCCTGTCCTTCTCTTGTCTCCTCCTCCTCCTCATCTGTCGTTTCTGCCTCCACCTCCGCCGTCAACTCTCCCGACGCCGCTGTCTCCGCCGACCCCCGCCAAATCCGCCGCCTCCGCCCCCGCCTTCATCAACTTCCGCCTCCGCCTGCTCCTCCTGGTCCTCCTCGTCATTCCGTCTCCTCCTCCTCAGCCGCCTCCTCCGCGGTCGCGCCCCATCCGCCCCATGCGTCAGCCTGTTCAATCGTCTCCACCACCGCACCTGCTCCTCTCCATCCTCCTATTCGTCCTCCTCTCCCGCCTTCTCCTGCTCCTGCCCACTGTCCTGTTCCTGATCATCCTCATCATCCTCCTCGTCATCACCACCACCGCCTCCAGCATCATCAGCATCATCATCCCTATGAGCATCGTCGTCAGCAGCTAATTCACCATTCCTACCATCATCGTTACCATCACCAGCACAATCGCCACCGTCATCCGACTCGTCACCCTGCTCCTGCTCGTGAGCACCATTATCACCACCAGTGGTATCAAACAATCAGCTCCATCCTTGTGATAACATATAGACAGCAACTCATGTTGCCAAACCCGCGTTGCAAACAGCCCACGATGTCATACTTCAGCATGAGATCCGAAGCATCCCCGAAGCAAGCCCCCACCGCCCTAACGTGCGACGCGTTTCCACAGGGAGCCGGAATTGACCCGCCAGATGGCATGAGGAAGCGCGGGCTGTGCAAAGACTGCTCCGCCGCGTCGGCAACGCCGCCGCACATACGCAGCACTACTCGAAACATGTCCAAAGCCCGTGCATGCGACATGCCCCCGCCGGCTGCAAAACCAAAAACTTCGCCTCTTGGCACACGACGGCGGGCACGACAAAGTCGGCCGTGTCGAAATCAACGTGGCGGGATAACGCGGGCCACGCCGGGTCTCCCCAGCCACGGCCTGTCCAACCTCTCCGGGGTGCAGCCGGCGGCGTCTTGCCGATCTTCTCTTCGACCGCCACGTTCCTGAGAAGATAGCATCGCGTGACAGGGCGCAACGCTTCGACCTTGGTAAGTCAGACAAGCGTTAAGAAGCCGAACGACAATATCAAGATAAACCCCGCGGAGATCATGACGGCGTTATCGCTGGAAGGTTCCGCAACGAAGACGCCAGACAAAAGTGCGTCCACCACCGCTTGAGACAACGGAGGCGCCCGCTGCCTGAGTTCCTCTGCGTGGACGGACGGCATGCCTCGTGCAGCTGCCACCAAAGGGTCACTTAAAGGCCGCGGAAATTCTAATACCTTTCGCCCAGACCATGGATGCAAACGCGGATTTGTGGGCAGAAGCTCCCCTCACAGCCAGATCCCGCAGATAGAAAGCGATGTCCACCGCTTTTAACATCCACGGATCCTGGCCAAGTGCAACGGCCCATTTCCGCAGTCGTTCCACATGACGCAGATGGATTCGGACTGTCGTCACAACGGCCCTGCTTGGTGAAAAATGGGCGGAGCAGGTCAACTTGGTGCTGACACGACAGACACTTTTAGCTTAAAGCCTGCATCTTCGGTGAATATTTCGCCAGGTCGCACGCAAAAGCGATGCAACGATCCACTTGCTGGTTCAACAGCGCCGCTTCCCGATCTTGGCAAAGACCAGCTTTTTCCGCCGTTGGGTCGCGCCTCCTTTTTCGGATCGGCTGTCAGGGAGCGCGCTCACCCTCGCGGAAGGCTCTCGAACCACGTGCTGTGCGGCTGCAGACAGCACGACACGCAAACTGCCATTCGGCACGTCGGCGCGCACCTTCCCCCTGACCGAGGCGCACGATAGCCGATCTACTGTGCATCGAAGCTCCGCGCGGACCCGCGCAACACAGGGCCATGACCCGCAAGCTCCTGCATCCCATCCTCCACTGGATCGGACCAAGAGGCTGTGTTCTCGATCGAGCCCAGGCGATGCTGTTCCAGGTATCCTGGAATCGCCGCGGCGCGGGCACCGCACGTGGCACACATGCGTCTGGACGCGGGGACACCGCTTGCAGCGCTGGCGAACCTCTGGCCGAGGCACTACCGCCTCCGCTTGGAACATTGCCACGAAGACTGGCAACTGTCGCATGGACCCGGGCAGTACCGCCCACGGAGTGCTCTTCGGCGTTCGAGACGTTACTGCCTGCGGCGCCATTCGCAAAGGCCCCTGTGTGTCACCATTTGGCGTATTACCACCACCGTCGCTGCACACTTGGGCAGTACCGCCACGTTGTCCGAGGTACCACCACCCGAGACATTTCCGTTTGGGGCAATACCGCCCTCTGGCATCAACGCTACTGGCCCTTACCGGCCTCTGGCTCTTGCAGCCACTTCCTCGTGTATGCGCGACTCCCGTGTATGCGTTGTTTTTGTTGTTTGCTTGCGCCGCATGGCGCGCACTTCGAGCCACGATGGCTCTGGACAGCTCGCAGCGCAACCGTGCGCATTAGCTTCATCAAAGCAGCGCTTGTTTCTAAATGAGCCGACGGAGAACACCTCCCCTTGTCCAAAAACTAAATCGCCACGCCCTTGCACTGGCCAGGAGACCGCTTTCGGGTCTCCTGTCGAAATGCGTACAGATAGGTTACATACGGTGCCGATGGCCCGCACGGCACATGAGAGACGCAGCGCAGAGTCGATGCCCGCCCTGCCGCCCCATCAGATCGGCCATTGTCACATCAACGTTAGGTTAAGGCATTTCCTCCTACAGGCGGATGTTGGACGAAGAATAAAAAATAACCCCAAAAAATATTCAAAAATGATAGAAGAACCGTCCCAATACGATTTTCACTATATCCGAATGTTCCTGCTATAGAGGGACAGATCCGACATGACGTTAACGCACTTCGCTGCAGCACGACAAGGGCGACGCAACCTGATCGGCTGGCGGAAGAACGATCGCGGCGCACCCGAGAGCTCATCGGCAGAGGGACGAAGAGACAAGGACAATCCACCTCCTCTTCCTCCTCCTCCTCCTCGTCCTCGACCTCCTCCTCCTCGTCCTCCTCCTCCTCCCAGAGGTCTGGGCTCACGTGCCTGTCGATACCCGTCGCAAGAAGAAGAGGGAGAACACGAGGAGAGCTCACGGAGGACGAGTGCAGAGCTCTGCACATGCTCACGCACAGGCAGATGATGAGTGTGGATGCCACTGGCCCTGCCCACCATGAGCCTCCCAGCAAAACGCCACCACCACCAACAACAACAACAACAACAACAACAACATCATCAGCATCATCATCAGCAGCATCATCAGCAGCAGCATTGTTCTTCTGCTCACCAACATGATCACCAAGCTCCCATATTATCCTCAGTACCCTACTCATCAACATCAGTAACAGCATCATCATTACGATTACCCTCAACATAGTCGTCATCATCAGCAGCATCATAACTATCAGTATCATACATCATCAGCAGAATCAGCATCATCATCATCAACATCAGCATCATCATCAGATGTATCATCATCAGCAGCATAAACATCATCTGCAGAATCATCATCATAATCATAAGCATCATCATCGTCATCGTCACCGACATCATCAGCATCATCATCATCAGCATAATCCTCGTCATCAACATCAACAGCGTAAGCATCATCAGCAGTATCAGCCCCATCATCACCATCATCATCAGCATCGGAATCATCATCATCAGCAGCATCATGATCAACATCATCAGCATGCTCATCGTGATCATCATCATGATCAGCATCATCATCAGCAGCAGCAGCAGCATCAGCATCAGCATCAGCATCGTCATTATGATCAGTACCAGCATTATCATCATAGATGGTTCAACATCAGCATCAACATCATCAGTGTGAGCGTCATCATCATCGTCGTCAGCAGCCTAAGCATCATCAGCATCATCATCGTCATCGCCATAAGAATCACTAGCAGCATCAACAGCATCAACATCACCAATACCGCCATCAACAGCATCGCCATCAGAATCCGCTTCGTCACCATTATCATAATGGCTCCCATTCGTCAACGGCATCATCAGCCTCATCGACATCAGCATGATCATCATAATCAGCAGCAGCATCATCAGCATCCTCATTGTCATCATTTTCCCCTTCATCATCCTCAGAATCCCCATCAGCATCATCATCACAAGCAACATTATCTTTCTCACCACCGTCATCAAAATCAGTATGACCATCAACGTCAGCATCAGCATTATCAGCATCAGCATCATCATCAGCATCAGCATCGTCAACATCATCACCAGCATCATCAACATCAGCATCAGCATCAGCATCAGCATCATCATCAGCATCATCATCATCATCACCATCATCATCATCATCATCATCATCATCATCATCAACCTCTGGACCTTCCTCCACCCTTTACTTTCCTCCGAGTGCCTGAAGCTGTCCAGATCGAGCATGCGCTGCGGAGGCGTCGGCGGGGTAGCCATTCTGAAGGGCGGCGCAAAACAATGCCGTGGGGGGCTTGGGGAAAGTGATGAATACGTTGTTGGAGGCAGGTGACTGGGGGGGGGGTAGGGTACTCCTTCTCCTTCTCCTCATTCTTCTCCTCCTCGTTGTCCTTCTCATCATCCCCCTCTCCCTCCTCTTCCTCCCCTATCCCTCGCTCTCCACCTTCTACCCCCTTCCCCACCTCCGCATACGCCCCCTCCACCACCTCCGCAGACATCCCCCTCGTTGGCCTATCAATCGTCCACCTCACTCATCCTTCCATCCTCCACCTCCTGCCGCCTCCCGCCGAGGGTCTCGCCCCTCCTAAGGATCACCCCTGCAGCTTGTCCTTCTCCACCTCATCCTCATCCTCATATTCCTCGTCCTCCTGATGATTATCTTCCTTTTCCGTTTCCCTAACTTTTCCCGCTCCCTGTGTTCCCTTATGACAGGCATCGTCTTTGTCGCCCTCCTAATCTGAGACAACGGGACTCCGAGACTGACTGTCAAGTGTAAACTGCTGACGCTGTCAGACTCGCCGTGAATTGGCGGGGTGGCTCTTCCCCATCTGTCTGGTATCTTTGTTTGTTCCGCCGCAGCGTAACGAACCTGGACACAGCTTTGACTCCAAACGTCAGCGAGGCCCGTGTGAAAAGAATCTCGCAACTTGGCATCGAGGCAGAAGGAAGGGAAAGGGAAAACAGCGAGGGAAAAGGAAGGGCAGGGGGAAGACACACAAATCTGCCCAGTTGCCCCTCCTTTCCCCCCTCCCCCGCCCTTCTTCTCTCCTTCCCGCGCTCCACCCACTTCCACCCCCCCTGTAGTCCCTCTTTCCCTCGACAACAATGCCGCGATGCAGTGCGCAGCCGCTCGCATGAATCACGCTGAGACGTACCAAACCCATCGACACCAAGGAATGATGTAAGGTGTGCCGAATATACGACAGCAATACTGCAAGAGACGGTGCACAGCGGATATCTATATCGTGCGAAGTGTGCGAGGTCCTCGAGGTCTGCGTGGAACCCCCTGTGCTGCCCCCCCAGAAAACCTCAAAAGTAGCTACAGTTTCACACTTCGCAGCCCCTCCCCCAGGGATGGCGAGGTCCCCTGCCCCACCCCTAGCAGCCCTCGAAATCTGCGACAGTTTCACACTGCGCAGCCCCCCACTCAGGATGGCGAGGTCCGGCTTGGATCTGCGTGGGGCCCCACTGTGCTGGCTTCCCCAGCAGCCCTTGAACGTGGCGACCATTTCACACCTCGCAGACCACCCAGGGATGGCGAGGTGTTTTTGCGATATGCGTGGGACCCCAGTGCTGGCCCCCCGGCAAGCCCTCGAAGGTTGGGACAGTTTCACACTTCGCACCCCCCCAGGGATGGCGAGGTCCCGTTTGGCTCTGCGTGGGGCCCCACTGTGCGGACTTCCCCAGCAGCCCTCAAAAGTGGCGACAATTTCACACTTCGCCGCCCCCCAGGGATGGCGAGGTCCCGTTTGGGTCTGCGTGGGGCCTCACTGTGCGAGCTCTCCCAACAGCCCTCGAAAGTGGCAGTAATTTCACACTTCGCAGCCCACAAAGGATGGCGAGGTCCGGTTTGTGGGTCTGCGTGGGGCCCCACTGTGCGGGCTCCCCAAGCAGCCCTCGAATGAGGCGAACGGTTCACACTTCGCAGCCCACAAGGGATGGCGAGGTCCCGTTTGGCTCTGCGTGGGGCCCCACTGTGCGGGCTCCGCCAGCAGCCCTCGAAAGTGGCGTCGTGGCCCAAGAGGCGCGAGCGTAGCGTAGTTTACGAGAGATCGTAGCATCGGGGGCACGTATATGGGGGATCGTGGCTTCGGGGGCGCCAATGCAATGCAATTTACGATGGATCGTGGCCTCGGGGGCGCGAATACAGCGCACCTTACGAAGGATTATTGCAACGGGTATGTACTGTTACGTGTCCCACGGCCCCGACGGAATTCTGACAATGCGAATCGGGCTCCTCCTCCTCCTCCTCCTCCTCCTCCTCCTCCTCATCATCATCATCATCATCATCATCATCATCATCATCATCATCATCATCATCATCATCATCATCATCATCATCAACATCATCATCATCATCATCATCATCATCAGCAGCAGCAGCAGCAGCAGCATCAGCAGAAGCAGCATCGTCATCGGGGGCAGCAGCAGCAGCATCGACATCATCAGCATCAGCATCAGTATCGTCATCATCATCTTCATCATCCTCAGCAGCATCATCATAATCATCAGCATCATCGTCATCATCAGCATCGTCATCATCATCTGCATCATCAGCATCATCAGCATCGTCAGCATCATCAGCAGCATCATCAGCAGCATCATAGTCATCGGCGGCAGCAGCAGCAGCATCGACATCATCAGCATCAGCATCAGTATCGTCATCATCATCTTCATCATCCTCAGCAGCATCATCATAATCATCAGCATCATCGTCATTATCAGCATCGTTATCAGCATCCTTATCAGCAGCATCATCAGCATTATCAACATCATCATCAACAACACCATCATTGTCGTACTACTCGGAAGAATAACAAGAATCATCAGCATCATCACCATCATCAGCATCATCATCAACAGCATCATCAGCATCATCATCGACAGCGTCATCAGCATCGTCATCATCATCCGCATCATCAGCATGAGCAACAGCATCATCAGCACATCATCAGCAGCATCATCCTCAGCATCATCATAATCGTCGCAAGCATCATCCTCAGCATCATCATCATCAGCAGCGTCATCATCAGCAGCATCGTCAGCAGCATCATCATCGGTCTCATCGTCAACATCATCAGCAGCACCATCATCAACATCAACATCATCAGTTTGAACACATGTTTAGCATCATCATCAGCATCATCATCAGAATCACCATCATCACCACCATCATCAACATCAGCATCAGCAGCGTCATCATCATCGGCATCATCAGCATCATCGGCATCAGCATCAGCAGCATCATCAACTGTAACAACATCAGCAGCATCATCGGCATCATCATCAACAGCATCAGCAACAGCATCATCATCAGCTGCAACATCCTCAGCGTCATCGTCATCATCATCAGCATCGACATCATCATCATCAGCAGCATCAGCATCATCAGCATCATCATCATCGTCAGCATCACCATCGTCATCACCATAGATAGCAAGATCCCCATAGTCATCACAATAGTCAGCATCATCACCATAGTCAGTACCATCGTCAGCACATAGAGATAATAATCATCAACATGAGCAGCATCATCATCATTATCATCAGAATCAGCATCAGCAGTGTCATCATCGTCAGCAGCATCAGCATCATCCGCATCATCATCATCATCATCATCATCAGCATCATCGTCATCATCATCAGCATCGTCATCAGCATCATCACCATCAGCAGCAAAATCCCAGTAATAACCAGCATAACAAGAATAATCATCATCAACAGCATAATCATCATCGCCATCAGCATCAGCATCAGAATCAGCAGCGCCATCTGCGTCATCAGCATCATCAGCATCATCATCATTATCATCAGCATCATCATCGACATAATCATAATCCTGGCAATGATTATCACTGGCATCATCAGCATCAGCATCAGCATCAACAGCATCGTCATCAGCATCCTCATCACCATCAGACTCATCATCACAATCAGTATCAGCATCAGCATCATCAGCTTTAGTAGCATCATCAGCAGCATCAGCATCATCATCAGTATCCTCGTAATCATCATCATCATCACCGCCATTATCAGCATCAGCATCATCAGCATCATCATCAGCACCATCAGCATCATCCGCATTATCAGCAACATCATCATCATCATCATCATCATCATCATCATCATCTTCAGCAGCATGATCAGCATCATCAGCATCATCAACATCTTCAGCATCATCATCATCAGCATCATCAGCATCATCGTCATCCCTCCTCCTCCACCTCCTCCTGCTCCGTCCTCCTTCCTCCTGCGTCCTCCATACTTATCCTCCCCCCTCTTTGGACGCCAAAAATGGGCACGGGAAAAATGGGTACAATGCCCAACAACAAGTGAAGTCCAAAACCAACAGCGGCCGCTGTTGGGAAGGCGGCCGCCTGTCTCGAGTGGACACGGGCCGCGGCGGCGTGGACAGCGAGTCCTGCCCAAGTTGAGCTGGAGCTGCTGTTGGGCATCGTACCCACTCTTTCCGTACCCATTTCGGTCGTGCCGATCCTCCTGACTTGTCCTCCTTGCGTATCCTCCCTCCTCCCTCCTTACTTGTCTTCCCTCCTCCTCCTCCTCACGTATCCTCCCTCCTGCGTCCTCCTTACTTATCCTCCCTCCTCCTCCTACTCCTCCTCCCGTCGCAGGTTGCCTCCACGGCACCCTCGTGGCCAGCCGCGTGCCGCTCCGGCCCCGCGGCCGCCGCGAGCCGCTCGGACGGCTGCCGCTCCAGCGGCGCCCGCGGCGCCGCGGACCTGCGCGGGGCCGAGTGCTCCGCCTCCTCCTCTTCCTCCTCCTGCTCCTCCTCCTCCTCCTCCTCCTCCTCCTCCACCTACTCCTCCTCCTCCTCCTTTCCCTCCTCCCTCCTCCTCCTCCTCCTCCTCCTCCTCCTCCTCCTCCACCTCCTCCTCCTCCTCCTCCTCAACCTCCTCCTCCTCCTCCTCCTCCTCCTCCTCCTCCCACCTCCTTCCTCCTCCTCCCCTCCTCCTCCTTCCTCCTCCTCCTCCTGCCCCTCCTGCCCCTCCTCCCCTCCTCCTCCCCCCTCCTCCCTCCTCCCTCCTCCCTCCTCCCTCCGCCCTCCTCCCTCCTCCCTCCTCCCGCCTCCCCCTCCCTCCTCCTCCCTCCCTCCTCCTCCTCCCTCCTCCTCCTCCCTCCTCCCTCCTCCCCCCTCCCCCTCCCTCCCCCCTCCGATCTCTCACTCCTTCCTCCCCCCTCCTCCCCTCTCTCCCCACCTCCTCCCCTCCACACTCTCTCCCCTCCTTCCTGCTCCCCTCCCCTTTACTTCCCCCGCCGTGCCCTCACCCTCGCGCGTGAGCAGCGGCCCTGGTCTTGTCCAACGTCGACGTCGCTCAGCGCCACAACTGGATGCCCAAATTCACCCGCCCACTCGCCCCCCTCTCCACTCCCCCCGCCCTCCCTCCTCCTCCCTTCTCCCTCATCCTCCCCTCTTCGGTCCTCCTCCTCCTCCCCTCCCCACCCTCCTCCCCTTCTCCCCCCTCGCCTCCTTCCATCCTCTGACACCTTCCCCCATCCGTCCGTCTCCCTTGCCCTCCCTCTTCTCCACCCTCTTCTTCCTCCTCACTCCACGGTATGCCTTTGGGATGCGGGCCCTGGAAGGAAGGCTTTCACAGAGCCCTTGCACACGGTAGAGGAAGGACCCGAGGACACCTGGTCACCCTGTTTGTCCTCTCCTCCCTCCGTTGTCCTCCTCCCACGCCCTTCCATCCCCTCCTCCCCCTCCACCCCACTCAAACTTCGACACCTCCCTTCTCATTATCTCCTCCCTCGTCCCTCTTTCCTCTTCCCTCATCCCCCTCCTCCTCTTCCTCCTCCTCCTCCTCCTCCTCCTCCTGTTCCTCCTCCTCCTCCTCCTCCTCCTGCGCCTCCTCCTCCTCTTTCTCCTCCTCTTCCTCTTCCTCTTCCTCTTCCTCCCTCCTCCCGCTTCCATCATCCTCTCCTTCTCTCCTCGCAATTCCTCTTCCCCTCGTCCTTCCGCCTCATCATCCGTCCTCCTCCATCCTCCTCCATCCTCCTCCCCCCTCGCGGCCTGTAAGGCGCGTGCGCACCAGTATGCCAGCGAGCACCACGACATGCCTGCCAGCACCGCAACTTTCGATCGCAACAACGTGCCTGCGAGCACCAAGATGTCTGCCAAAACCACAACAACGCGCCTGTGAGCCATCCAGTATGCACAACAAGAAGATGCCAGACTTTGCCAGCGCCAATAAAAGTAGCAAACAAACACCACCACCACCACCACCACCCGAGAGCACTTACCACAACGGCGCATGAGCGCCAAATAGTCTGCTCAATGGTCTGCTGGACTCTGCGGGTACAGCAATAGCCTGCAAACTCCAGCTTGCGGGCACCGCAGGGGCACTGTCAGCACTGCAATGTGTGTTCGCCTCGGCCAGACGGCGAGGGAAAAGCCAGACCCTGCCAGGACCACGCATAACGTGCGACCACCAGCACTCGAAGCCAAAAATGCCAGACCCTGCCAGCACCACTGTACGCTTGCGAACACACCTGACTGACAGGTCTGAGCTGGATCGGATCGCGAAATCGGGTCGGATCGAGAGCGGATCGAATCGCGAGCGAATTGTCCCGAACCGGATCGGCATCGAATCGCCGCGCCCCGATCCCGGCTGACCGTGGCCGATGCCGGGGAATAAAGCCGGATCGCATCGAATTGAAATCCCGGGCTCAGCTGGCGAATCGAATCGGATCGTAGGCGGCCCTGCCAGGGTACCACAGTAGCTTGCGCCCGACACCGCAGACCTGCGACCACCACGATGCCCGTCGGTCGGAAGGAGTAGGTCGGAACATCAAGTAAGAAGGCGTTGAAGGTAGATTGCGTGTCCGCCCGCCCCCTGAAGAGGACGGAAAAGGTGAAGCCACTCGATCATTGAAGAAGGAAGTATATTGGAATCTGGGACTCAAAAAATACCTACAGGGCAGTTTTTTTATACATAGGATTTTTAAAACATATGGGATGTAAATACATGATTTAATGTATGAATACATGTATGCATGAACTCCTCGTTGTTTTTAATACTAAATCCCTGCATTCTTATGCATGATCCGCACGCGGAGCATGTATAAAAAAACGGCACTGTACGTACAGCACGACGGCCGCCTGCGAGCACGGAATCCGCCCGCGAGCACCAGGGCATCCATGATCGACGAGCGCGTTCCCCTGCTCGCGAGGTGACTACTCGCAAATGGCCTGCATCCGCAGCGGGGGATCTACGACAAAATCTGAATCGACGCAAAGATCTGTATTTCGATCGTTTGCGAGTAGGCACGTTGCGAGTAGTGGCACGCGCTCGGTAAACCCACGAGAGCAGCAGCATGCACTCGTGACAGCCACGCGGCGAGGGAAGCCCGACCCTGCGGGGTCCAGAAGAGCCTGCGACCATCACGGTATACGGAGTGCACGGCAGCATTGTGCCAGACCCTGTCAGCACCGCAGCAGCCCGCGACCACCACCAGCCTACGAGCACGGCAAACCCTGCGAGCGCCACAAGATCACCCGAAGCATGCTCAGAGTCCTGACGCTCCCAATTGCAGCATACCTTCGAGCACAACAGAACGCCGCCACGTTCCCGCGAGTCTGTGAGGGGGCACAATGAGCTTGCGACCACCAGGCGGCGAAGGAAGGCGGACCATGCCACTAACACGATAGCCCAGAGCCACCATGTGTGACCGCATCAGTACAACAACGTGCCTGCAAGCACAACGATCTCCCTGCGAGAACGCCCCCGCATGCCTGTGCGCACCGACATCTGCGCGGGAGCGTCGCAATAGCCGGCGACTCCGCCACCATGCCCGTGAGCACCCACCGTGCGCCCGCGCACCGCAGCACCGTTGCGGGCACAGCGACGGCCCCAGAATACCGCGGGCTGCCTTGCGAGAACCGCAGTGCGCCTGCGGGCGCATCCGTGTGCCCGCAGGCGCGCCCGTGTGAGCACGGGAGTCCCTGCGAGCACCACGCCGCCCTCCGGCGGGCACCACCGAAGCCTGCGAGCACCACGGCGTGCCCGTGCAGCCTCGGCCCGCCTGTGGGCACCTGCGAGCTCCGCACCGTGCCCGGCCCCCCCCCAATGCGCGCTCGAGACCGCCAGCGTGCGGCGTGCCGCGAGGATGTTCTGGACGCCCGAAATGGGTACGGACAAAACGGGTACAATGCCCAACAACAAATGTTGCCCCAAACCAACAGCGGCCGCTGTTGGGCAGGCGGCCTTCTGTCTCAAGTGGCCACAGGCCGCGGCGGCGCGGACAGCGAATTTTCTTCAAAATGAACAGGAACTGCTGTTGGGCATTGTACCCATTCTTTCCGTACCCATTTCGTGCGTGCCACGAGGATCTGGTGCACGCGTGCGTTCCAGTGGTGCCCAGTTGTTCTTTTTTACCTCGAGGAGGAGGAGGCGCGTAGCGTTCTGGGGGGGAGGAGGGGGAAGGGGGGGCATAGCGCGCGTTACCTATACGACCACCCTTCGGGTGGTAGTGAGGCTGGGGGATGGGGGGAGAGCCAACCGCTGGCAAATGCAATGGGTGTGATGATGACGATGCTGATGGCGCGCCCTCGAGTCAGCGACGACGCGTGATGATGCTGTTGCGCTGCGATGTACCGTCACTATCGTTCCCACCATCGATCTCGTATTCGATATCGCTGGCGATCTCACAATCGATTCCTCTATCGATCCGACTGTCGATCGCACGGCCGATCTCACAACCAGTATCACAATCAATATCAATGTCGATCTCACTTTTGATCTCACTATCCATCTCGTTCGAGCGTTATCATCATCGTTCTCACTATCGACTTTCATTATCGATACTCCAGGAGGGACACCCTCGGCCACCACCCGCCAACCGCCGACGGAATGTCAACGGGGCACCCACGGGACACAAAACAAGACACCACAGGACAGCACAGCTGGACACCCCGTGCCACCGAGCTGCCACGGGGGGCGGAGACGCGGTGAACTACATCCTAATCTCCCTAATTACAGTCGGGTAATTCATCTCGCGCGCCCACGCAGTTTCGCCTCGCCCGCACGCACGACACGAGCACGAAACAAACCGAGACCGACCCGTGGGGGCTCTTCATTCCACTGCGATCACACACCCCAGCCCCCAATCTCCAATGCATTCTCTCGAGCCCAGCTGCATCCAGCAGATCCGCCACCGCGCCCCTTGGCAGGTTAAGGCGTGGTAGAAGGTCACGTGATGACTGGCATTGTCTCTGCAATCTTCGAAAAAGGACCCTACCCAGCGCTTCCCTGCGCGCGCAGGCCGTGTCTGCCGAAGGCTCCTACTCCGAGCTTTCCAGGACAATCCATGAAGGCTCCCAAGGCCGCCTAGATGGCCCAGCATTGCCTCAACACGCACCCAAGAGCTCCCGAGAAGCGCCCAAAAAGTCCCAAGAAGCCTCCGACAGGCCCCAAGACACTCCCGAGACACGCTCTGCAAGAGCCCCTCGAGGCAGGCGTCCGCCGAGAGCTCCACGAGGGCCGCTGGACGGTCCAAGAGAGCCTCAGGCCGGCCCAAGGAAGAACCCCCCTGTGGACGGCCAAGAGGGCCCCAAGACGGCTCATCAAGGCCCCGGGACGCCCCAAGCGGACCCCAATGAGGGCCCAAGGAAGGCCCCGACTGCCCCCCCGAGGACGCGAGAGGGGTGCCGCGCGCGACGGCCCTCTGGGCCGTGCTCGCCGGGTCGCCACGCTGAGTGCCTCGCTGGCACGGTGGCGGAGTTGCCGCAGGCACCAGGCTTTCGCAGCCCCTCGTGAGGAGGGCGGACGGCGTGCCGGGGGCTCCGCAGGGGGCCCCCGCACATCCCTGCCTCCCGCCAGCTTGCCAAGCGCGACCTCTCCCTCGCAGCCCCTGGCCTACGGCAGCACACACCTTCAGCGCGCCCCCCCTCCCATCCCCTCCTCCTCCGCCCCCAACACCCTCCTAGCGTGATAAAAGGCACGGCGGGAAGGTGCTCGTCATGCTCGGGCCGCGGGGGTCGGGCCGGGCCCCGGGACCGTCGCAAAACGACCTGGGACGAAAAGCCGATCCGCACGAAGAGGTCCAGACTATTTCTGAAATGTCTGATTGTGAACGCAAATAAAAAAAAAAACGACGCCTTCTCAATGTTGGAGGGCACACGGAGGGGCAGGGGCTGCGAGGTCCATCGTAGTACGGACCGGGAGCTCCCACTCACCACCCTCATCTTCCTCCCCTCTTCCTTGGAGGAGTTCGACACGCACGCATGGTGTAGATTGGGGGGTCCTGGTGATGGTGATGGCACCATCCACCTCGTAATAGTTCCTCCTCCGCCTCCTCGCCCTTCTGCCTCCTCCTCATCCACTCTCCCCCCTCCTTCTCCTCCTCCTCCTCCTCATTATTATTACTATTACTATGTTTATTATCATTCGTATTATTACTATTATGATATATATTATTAGTAATATGAGTATGAGTATCAATCTTAATGTTATTATAGTTCGTACCCGTAGTATGTTGTACTATTAGGTGTTAGGTTTATTCGTATGATTAGTAGTCTTACGTTTCGTCTTATGAACCGTATTCTCACTATTATCAGTGTTAGTAGTACTATCATTATTACTATGATTAGTTGTCTGCGCCTTATTGTTATTCTTCTTACAAACATTAATCATTCCCAACCATCCTGTGGCGTTGGGTCCTCGTTTTGAAGAGACAGCGCCCCGCGTCTCCTTCCTTCCTTCCTTCCTCCTCCCCTTCCTCCCTCCTCCCCACCCCCCTCCCAGTGCAGCGTTTCGTAGCCCCATAAGGCGCTCCACCGAAGGCCCCAGTGGGGGTGCCTGCATGCGGTTCCCCCCCCACCCAGGGCAGCGCTTCGTGGCCCCATACGGATCTCCACGGAAGGTCCCAGTGGGGGTGCCAGCATGCGGTTCCCCCACCCAGGGCAGCGCTTCGTGGCCCCATAGGGAGCTTCACTGTAGGTCCCAGTGGGGGTGCCCGCATGCGGTTCCCCCACCCTGGGCAACGTTTCGTGGCCCCATAGGGAGCTCCACCGAGGGCCCCAGTGGAGGTGCCCGCATGCGGTTCCCCCACCCAGGGCAGCGCTTCGTGGCCCCACAGGGAGCTCCACCGTAGGCACCAGTGGGGGTGCCCGCACGCGGTTCCCCCACCCAGGGCAGCGTTTCGTGGCCCCATAAGGAGCTCCACTGTAGGCCCCAGTGGGGGTGCCCGCATGCGGTTCCCCCACCCTGGGCAACGTTTCGTGGCCCCATAGGAAGCTCCACCGAAGTCCCCAGTGGGGGCGCCCGCATGCGGTTCCCCCACGCAGGGCAGCGTTTCGTGGCCCCATAGGGAGCTCCACCGAAGGCTCCATTGGGGGTGCCCGCATGCGGTTCCCCCACCCAGGGCAGCGCGTCGTGGCCCCATAAGGATCTCCACGGAAGGTCCCAGTGGGGGTGCCAGCATGCGGTTCCCCCACCCTGGGCAACGTTTCGTGGCCCCATCGGGAGCTCCACCGAAGGCTCCATTGGGGGTGCCCGCATGCGGTTCCCCCGCCCAGGGAAGCGTGTCGTGGCCCCATAGGGAGCTCCACCGAAGGCCCCAGTGGGGGTGCCCGCATGCGGTTCCCCCATCCAAGGCAGCGCTTCGTGGCCCCATAGGGAGCTCCACCGTAGGCACCAATGGGGGTGCCCGCATGCGGTTCCCCCACCCCGGGCAGCGTTTCGTAGCCCCATAGGGCGCTCCACAGAAGGCCCCAGTGGGGGGTGCCCGCATGAGGTTCCCCACCACCACCACTGTGGCAGGCCCCTCACACAGTTCGTGGCCCCATAAGGAGCTCCACCGAGGACGATACTCACACCTGCGGTACTCACAACTGCATATGTTTGGGTCCGTCGCCAGGCTAAGTTTGTATGGTTTTTCGTAGTATTCGTCGTATTACCAAGTATTATGAGTATTAGTATTGTTATTCGCATTCGTATGTGTATCATTGTTATTATCAGTGTTAGTATTATTATTCTTGTTCAGAACATCCATAATATGATTAGCCGTCGTCGTATTAGTATGGTTGTTATTAGTATGTGTGTTCTTCTTACTCTTAGTAATATCATTATTATGTTTCTCCTCCTCCTCCTTCGCCCCCTCCTCCTCCTCCTCCTCCTCCTCCTCCTCCTCCTCCTCCTCCTCCTCCCCCCTCCTCCTCCTCCCCCCTCTTCCTCCTCCTCCTCCTCATCCTCCTCCTCCTCCTCCGCCTCTTCCTCCTCCTCCTCCTCGCATCCGCCTCTTCCTCATGTTCCTCCTCATCCTCCTCCTCATCCACCTCCTCCTCCTCCTCAGCATCATCATCATCAACAACAGCAGCAGCAGCATCCGCTTCCTCTTCATCAGAATCTACCTCCTCCTGCTCCTGCTCCTCCTCCTCTTGCTCCTCCTCCTCCTCTTCCGCCTCCCCTTCCTCCTCCTCCCTCGCCTCCGTCTCCTTCTCCTCCTGTTCCGCCTCCGCCTCCTCCTCCTCAGGTGCCTCCTCCTCCTCCTCCTCGTCCTCCTCCTCCGCCTCCTCCTGTTCATTCTCCTCCGCCTCGGCCTCCGCCTCTTCCTCCTCCTCCTCGTCCTCCTCCTGCTCCTCATCCTCCCTTCTCGCATCACTCCTGCGTCTGCCTCTCAACGAGTTCGTGGCGGAATTCATCCACTATTAGAACCAAACATGTCAGAACGAAACATTTCTGATCAACTCTCTAACTCCCATGACTCTCTAGAAATGCAGAACCAAAGAGTATCGTATCAACACTCTGAGCCTGCAGTATTAATTCCCGCCAAGAGAATTGCTGTACTTGTATAAAGCGCGCGCTACAACGAATCATTCCTAAACCAATTAACGCTGTACTGTAGCCCAACAAACTATAGTAATGGTGGAGCATGGCCAGGTGTTGAGATGATCGAGCACAGAGGACACCAGCTGCGACTCGCTGGTGGCAGTAGTGTGCTGAAAGTGCTGCGTGGCGTGGGCGTCTACTGGTCTATCAAACACCCTGCATTCAACTTGCCTGGGTGTCCCTAGTGGTGAGGGTCGGGCCTCTACTTACAGTTCCAACCTGCAGGGTAGGCTTAGGCGACTACTTGCAGCCAGGCATCCAAAGTCCAACGAGTCGCTGTAGTCCTTCAGTGGTTGTTGATTGTTTGGCTATCCCGTGGATGGCGTGCTGGCGGACCCTGTCGACGGAGGTGATGGAGCTTGTCTCGCGTTCTGCCTGGCGTATGTCGCTCATGTTACCTGGTGAGATGCTACATATGAGCAGCGGTATTCCCTCTGGGCCCATTCAACTCTGCAACGCTCAGGCCCCAATGCTCCCAGCCAACCTGCGGGATCAAAGTGGCAGTTAGCCAGCCAAGTCGGAGGTGTTGGAGCTCGTGTCGCGTGCGGCCTGGCTGGTTACACGCATGATACCCTGGCTTATGGCGCTGGCAAGGGCCTGGCCGTTAGAGCGCAAGTCCCGATGCGTTCGGCGACCCCACGGTCATGATCCAGGGGCGTTGAGGCGGTCGGGCTCACCGTCGCCATGTGTTTGCTGTACGTCCCGAGGAAGCCTCCGTTGTGGAGAACACCTCGGGCATCAGTCGACTTGTGTTTGCACGTTCGTTACACCGAGTTCGGCCTCTGCCTTCCTTGTTCATGGGCAGGGTCGTGCAATGTCATGTCGTCCACGGGAGTGGCTTCGCCGACGTCGTGGGCTTCATGTTCCTCACGCTGCTGGAAATCATGGCCCTGGGCGTGGGCTGCAGCTTCGGCGTCCTCTCCTGAGGACAGCAGGCGCCCTGCCTGCTCGCCGCCGCGTGTTCGGATCGGCGGACGCGCGCGCACTGCCTCGAACCCTCCCTGCTCCTGCTCCTGCTCCTCCTCCTCCTCCTCCTGCTCCTGCTCCTGCTCCTCCTCCTCCTCCTCCTCGCCTGCATCTCCTCCGCTTCCTCCTCCTCCCCCTCCTCCTCGCGGGACTCGCGGGGAGCGGACGGTGCGGGGGTGGTCGACACGCCAGGCGGCATGTACTGCAGCCGCAGCAGCAGCCGCGGGAATCTTGCGCTGGAGGCCCCCATCTCCAGGCACCTTCGCGGGGGGAGCGAGGAGCTCTGCTTCGAGGGGCAGGGTAAGAAGAACGAGGGGGAGGAGGAGGAGGAGGAGGAGGAGGAGGAGGAGGAGAGTCACGGAGGGCGCGGGAGGAGGGGCTAGGAAGGAGGAGCGAGGAAGGAGGAGCGAGGGAGGAGGAGGAGGAGGAGGAGGAGGAGGAGGAGGAGGAGGAGCAGGGAGCAGGCGCAGGCGCAGGCGCAGGAGCAGGAGCAGGAGCAGGAGCAGAGCTGCCGTCCTGCAACCGAGCCTTCACGAGGAGAGAGCGCACGCCCCAACGAGAGGGGAGGGAACAGCGGCGGGGATGCGGGGAGCGGAACGGTATCATCCCGCCGAACCGCACGGCAACCTCCCCCAGAGCCGGACACCCTGGTGGGGCATGTGTGTTTTGTCGGGCCGCACACCCACGCCCCGACGAGGGCGGATTGAAAGCAAAACCCTCCAGCTGTGTTCTCTGGCGCTCCGTTCGGCCTCGCGACGACCCACGATACGGCCCGAGACCGCTCGAGGACGGCGCCAGATGCCCCAAGAACGGCCCAAGACGGCCCCACGTCGCGCCGAGCGGTCCAGCGAACAGATGCTCCCAAGAGGCCCCGAGAGACCTCGCCTCGAACATGCGCCCAGAGAGCCATCTGGCAAGGCCGAGGCACCACAGGACCCGCAGGAAAAGACTGATGTGCGCCCACGCCGTGTCGCTTCCCACGGCGCGCTCCGCACAAGATGGTCTCAAGGTGCCCTCGCCACCAGAGCCCCAGGAAAAGCCCCAGAGGGCGAAAACAGGAACACAAGACGGCCCAAGAGAGCCCCACAACCCCGCAACACGGCTTCCACGGCGCCTCGCCCAGGAGGACCCCCAGGCTCGCGGTGACACCCAGGGCTCCTGCACGCGCGACACCGTGCCGGTGGCACCTGGAACGCGTTGACGCGGTGGTGGCCGCACCGCGCGTGCAGATGCGCGGTGCGGCGGCCCCTGGTGTCAGGTCGGGCCTGTCCCCCTACAGGGGGATTTTGGACGGAAAATGAAAAATACTCCAAAAATATCCCCAAATAAGTAAACAAACAAAAACAAACACTTCAAAAAAAAAATCGTCCCCAGACCATGTTTTACTATTTTTGAATAATCCTCCTGTAGAGGGACACGCCCGACTCAACCCTGGTGGTTGCTCGAGGCTCCTCCGCACGGGGCGCGACCTTTTTCGGATGCCATTGGGGCCTCCTCAGGGGCGGCCCTGCATGAACAATGCTGTACACGTGCGGCGGCCCCGGGGGCATGTCCGAGGCTGCTCCACATGTGAAATCGCAGTTCCGGCAACCCCTTGGGATTGCCCGAGGCTGCTCCACACGTGGAGATGCGTGGATTTTAGGCTGGCTTGCCCTCGTACCCATCTCGCGGAGGGCTCCGCTCAACAGTGCCCCGAGGCGCCGCCAATCCCGGAGCCAGGCCGGCGCAAATGCGACCGAGCAGCACCGTCACCGCGCGTGACGCGAGGCGACGTGCGACAGAGTTCCACGCGCCCTGACGGTGCCCCGAGGCGCCTTGCCAATCGCGGAGCAAAACCCCCGCCGATGCGACACAAGAAACCTCCCTCCAGGAGGACCGCGAGGGGGTAGAGGCGGAGTCGGAGAGATAGAGACGGAGTTGGAGATATCCCCTCAGGACGAAGGCGCGGCAAGAAGTCGGAGGGTACGAACGAGCATGTGAGCATCCCATCCACGACAATCATGATGGCGAGTGGGAATGCACGCGCAAAATGAAGGGGACATGACTTCATCCCCCCTTTTCGTCCAACTCCTCCTCCTCCTCCTCCTCCTCCTCCTCCTCCTCCTCACCCTCCTCCTCCTCCCTCCTCCCTCCTCCTCCACCTCCGCAACTTCCTCCTCCTCCTCGTCCACCTCCGCATCTTCCTCCTCCTGCTCCGCCTCCTCCTCCTCCTCCTCCGCCTCCGCTTCCGCCTGCGCCTGCGCCTCCTCCTACTACTATTATCATTATTACTACTACTACTACTACCACCACCACCACCACCACCACCACCACCACCACCACCACCACCACCACCACCACCACC